AGGTTTTCCAACACTTGAATTGCAAATTTTCGATGAATGAAGTGAGGCTTTACTTATTTTGATACACTTACAACATTGTTAAACCACTTATTGAATTCCTTATGAAACATACTTTGTTACATGATCATACTTATCAATGCCATTATACATTTTCCTTTTGTTAGGCTGCAATGGGCTTAATGATGGTCCTGAAAACTAAGCCTTGGGCTAAAGAAGAAATCATGTAATCTAGCCGGAGTATATATATATATGGAATTTTCCGCCTCGCTCATATGGTTCAGCTGCTCCCACCGGCGCTAATTTAACTTTCCTAATCCGAAGGCCACGATGCGATACCGCCGAATGAAGTTTGAAAAGTTAATAAATTCGACAAGATCAACGTTGTACGAAAGGGCGCTGACAAATGTACGCTCCCTGTGTGCAGCGTACGCTCTCTGAAGCATATCTCTCCTCTCGCTCTCCCTATATATTCTCTCCTCTCAACCAAAAATGACCCAAATCTCTCTCCTCTCGCTGCTCTGAAACTTCTCTCTTCTCTCACTGCACAAAATGAACTCTCTCTTCTCATTGCACAAAATGAACTCTCTACTCTCGTTGCTCTGAAACTTCTCTTTCCTCTCACTGCACAAAATGAAGCTCATCTCTCCTCTTGTTGCTCTCTTATGAAGTTTATCTCTCCCACATAAGGCATCCGCAGATCTCGCATAGAAGGGTTCCCCTTGTCAAGGTATGGGCTCTCTCTCTCTCTCTCTCTCGTGCTTCTATTTCCATCTCTCCCTCTGGTTTTCACTATCGAGTTACACCAAAACTCCCAAATCCCCAAATGAGCAAAACCCAATCTCGATAAAAATTGCTATAAAAAAATGTAGGCAAAAAATGTCCCAAATACAAACCAATTTTACAGCAATTTTTGCTCAGATTTTGTCCTCGTTTCTTGGATATCCCAAATACAGAGCAAACCCTCGGGTGCTTCTATTTCCATCTCTCCCTCTGATTTTCACTCTCCCAAATCCCCAAATGTGGAAAACCCAATATGAGCAAAATTTTTATTGCTACGGCTAAAAAAGGGCTATCCAGATGGTCCACAGCATACTTCTCATTTGTCTGAAACAAATATTGTTGGTGGCCTTAATGTAAAATTTTAAATCTACTAGCACATGTGGTTCCTCACATTTTATGGATTGGTCATATTTTGCAATAGCTAGAAATATTATAGTCATGAATGTATATGGGAATCACATGATATGAAGACGGCCAAAAGATTCAGTTGAATTATGCCATTTTTTGTATGAATAACATTAGATGTTTTTTAAGAAGTTACATGTGATTACTAATCAATTACATTATAACTTTTAAACATTAGCACCAATTGGTTTTATCCTAGCTTTTTAGCTGGTTGAGAACACGAGATATTTGAGTATGGATATGGGATTCCTATATACTATACGGATCAAATATGACTTTTTAAATAACGGAAGATATCTCTATCATGTACCAAAAATGAACTATTGAAAATAAAGTCCATATAGGTGAGCAAAGGGGCTTCTGTCATATGCATAACGTTGTTTAGAACTAGAGAAGCATATCACAAAATTTTCTGACACATTTCATACCAATGCCAAGTACCAATAATAATTCGACTGGTATATTTGACAAAAGGGTTCTTGTTCAGTTATGACTCTGAATCTTCTTGAAGCCACCTCTCTCGTGCCCAATTTCAATTTTATAGGTTAGATATATAAGATATTTTCTTCTTGTTTTCATTTTCTTTCTGAATGCTCCCCAACATTTTAAATGTAGTTCAGAATATTCCAAGTTTCTTTCTTACAGGCTAGATTGAAACCATGGTTTTCTGTTGGGGTGGAAGTTGAATTTATGGCCATGTCTGGGGCTGATGGAAAGTAGGAATTTCCTAGGAATCACTTTATTTAGGCACAGGAACTCTAGCACTGGAGAAGAATTTTGTGCGCTTGGGTCCTTTGAGTCTTTCATTGCTTGATTGAATATTCTTATTTCATCGAGTAAATAACTGCTTTAACGGCCAAGGTTCTGCGAGAATAATTAATGGAACTTCCTATGAACCTTTTGGTGTACTTTAAAATTTAAAAGAATTCCTTAAAAAAATTTGTCATGGACATTTATTGTCATGTGAGAAGGTTTAAAACTTGTTTGGATCTCTTTTATTGTCCAATTTGTTGCTGATTCTTGCATTGGTTGTTTAATGAAATGGAAATATTTGTTTAGTGTTGAGCTGGTAATTTTTTTTTATTATCACCACTTGCAGGAATTGATAGGTTTCTCTTTAACATTGAAATTAAAATGGATCTAACATACTCACCTGCATATATTTAGGTTGTTGAACACTCTTTGGGTGGGGGCACTGTTGCACTCCTAACTTATGCATTGCAGGAGAGGGAGGAGTTCTCTATGTGTACTTGTGTTACATTGCACCAATCATGTATTTCCTTGAGCCTTGACTATTTATTTAATAATCTGATTGGTTAAATATTTTGACTGTTAATGTTCGTCCTTAATGTAAATGGTCTTATTGTATACAATACTTATTTCAGGTGTGATGAAATTCTAGGTGAAGAAAGGAAGCATGTAGTTAAAAGGTTCGTGTCTCAAAGGCTAGATGCTTGTGTTGCTGATGGAGTAGATGAT